AAGGTTAGGATTGGCAATGAAAGGGCCACATTCCTACAATTGAAGAACATATGAAACTCAAAACAACTATCTCTCTTTAATTTGATCAAGTAAATTTTTAAATTGAGTTTCTGTGTCGATTCTGTTGTCTATAAAATGGATTTGATGAAAAAATTCTATCACAAGGCAAAATGTTGTGTTTTTAGAGTCAACTAAAATCTAGAATGTCGATGATTGAGGAGAATTCATACGACAACAACTTTCCTGAGAAACCAATGTAACCCTTACAACTTTCGGAAAATATGAAACTCACAAAATGTTTCGATTTCCTGAACGTTAATGAAATGGGATCGCAACTCATTGTCCACATACATTCTCAATTTTTGAGTTTTAAATGCACGGTCATTATCTGAGAAGTATCAATGATACTAGTTATACCTATCAAAATAAAATGTATTAGACTTATAGCTACATAAATCATTAGAAAACAATTCGGAACATTTGGATATTTCCACCAATACACCTATTTAATTGAGATCATGAACCGATCACTGTTAGACCACCATTGAAAACCTGAAAGCATTAAACAGCCTTTTCGTTCTAGCATGGGACCATCACACGTGCGGGAACATGGATGCAGACTGCTGACTAGTCCTACACTAGTACGAAATGGCCGTCTACTGTTTCCAGGTTTTCAACGATGGTCTAATATTGATCGGTTTATAATCTCAATTTAAACTCAACAATCTCCGCAACCTTATACTGACACCTACTTAAGTTAATTATCATTATCTATCATTGTAATAATTACTGCTTTTCTTTAATAAAGATTCTAAACTGCTGAGCAAAGAGATAGGTGGTAAGAATGATAACTTTATTTAACTTGAAAGAATGTGTGTAATTGTAGACTTTATTAATAAGAGTGAATAAAGGCGGCCTGCTTGAAGATCTGGGATACCTGTTCCTGTCATCTAGATATTTCAAAAAGTTATCTGAATTTGTTTGTTTTATTCCATCGTTATGGCTATTAATCGCATAACCTATTCAGGTGTGTTTATGAAAAATGTACAAATTTTCGTTGTACAAGTTACAAAGGCCCAATCACGGATATCGTGGTTGCTAACAATATGTATTGAAAAGAATGTGCATTATTTAGATATCGATTGACTGATCTGCTAACTTCTAACTGACGATCAATCAATATTTGTAGTCAGAATCGATCAAGAAATAAGAAACGGAAACTTGTTGAAATAAGAAGAAGAATCAAGAAAAAAACATTTGCTCTTTGTTATTTCTACCTTTCTTTTTTGAGAAAAAATAACGTCACTTACCTTTAGAATATAATGACCTATATTGTACAAATAATACAAAAGAGTTTTATCACATATAAACAAACAGTATGTACTATTATAAATCAATTATTTAAGACAATAATTTGTAGTCAGTTATCAAAACGACCCATTTGCTAAATTTAATTGTTTTAATATTTTCATAGTTGAAATCGTGAGTCTATTGAAGCTAGACCACCATGGAAAACCTGGAAGCACTGGACGGTTGTTTCGTCCTATTGTGAGACTCCTCAGCAGTGCGCATCCACGATCCCGCACTCGTGAGAATGGCCGTCTAGTGCTTCCAGGTTTACCATGGTGGTCTAGCTTCAATGGACTCATGATTTCAACTATAAAAATACTGAAATCTCCACAAAACCCCTTCTGTTTTAATATTTATTAGATGTTACATTAGAAATTTGCTAATTAAGAGAAAACAAAACTGATTTCAATTTTTGTTAACTATTAACCACTTGTATTTGATACAAACTATTCTAAAATTTTCTAACTGTTGAATGAACCAGTTTTGTTTAAGTGAAACAAATTCTAAAGAAAAAACGATATGAAAAGAAAAACCCACATGTCTTACTTACTTACTTACGCCTGTTACCCCTCGTGGATGAGTATATGCTGTTTATTGTAGTAAAAATATTTATGAGAATGTTAATTTTACACACTTTTTTCACAACTAGCTAGCGAGTGAGTTATTGAGATTTTCGTAGTTGTTAGTGATATTGTTTGTCAGTTTTGTCCACAATAGACTAAATTTGATTTGGATTTATAATGCAAAAGTTAAAGTTGGTTTTCTTTTTAACTACGAAACTTTTTTCCGTAACAGTCAATAATTCACATTTTAACAGTTATTTATAACTATTTTTCAAGGTGTGATGTAGTGTTCATCATTAGTGATCAGTATATGAAATCGTTATATAACTGAATAAGCTTCATAACGTAATAGTGTGGTGTGGGCTACTTATGTTCACATAAGTAGTATATGGTGACAGTCAGACATAGAATGTATTTTGGCAGAAGACCGATAAAGAAATAACTGAAATGAAGGGCAATCGGTAGGAAAATACACAAACAATGAAATCAGAAAATACGGACTGATATTAACAGAAGGAACAGTGACGATTGAGATAACTGATTGTTATTTTGCAAATTAACTGTTTACTTTATGGTTATCAGAATTTAGTGCAGTAGTCTGTAATTTATGCTTAAATACATTCGATTGTCCGCACTCATGTTCTTGTTTACCATAACAAAAACTGTCTTGGGACAACTATTTGTTTATAGACCAATTTCAACTTCACAGTATCACTAACTGTCATATGTAATCTTGCAATTTAATTATTTGTGCTAGACACTATCATACAATTATTATTCAGTGTCACGGTAAAAATGAGATGAAAGAAAAATTATGAAATTTGGGTGTTTACTTCTGTTTGACTTTGTTTATTTTTAATTAGAGAATAACAAAAAATTATTTTCTGGCATTTCCCTATCATTAAAAGTGTAATCCTTCGTTTAACTCACTGATATTGTCATATCTTTAAGCAATCGATAATAGCAATCAGTTAACCCACTTCGTGTAACAGTTAACTATGTACTAATTAACCTTGGAAAACATTACGGTTGTGTACTGACTTTTAATTTGTAGTCATATCATTAACTTGCAAAATCGTAATAACATGTTGAATATACCATAAACGCTAAATCTCTTACATCTTTTACTGTATGTTCATACTCTAGACATTCCTAAGGAGGAAAACAACTCAAGCCTGCAATCAGGATAGTGTGAAGCCAGAAAGAGAGTAATTACTTCAGTATTTTACTCTTGATTGGTGGGATAGGAATTTTGTGATCACTTGTTTACTTTAAAAAATTGCTTTACAACGTAATCTGGTAAATCTAAGTGAAAAATGTGATTTGTAGAGCCAGTCTAGTCAATAGTTGATCATTTACTCACCGAAGGCATTGGATGATAATCAGGTGATTTCATGAAATGGCAGCGGTTTGAAATTCGGACTGTTGGATTCAATTTCTTCTCTGCAAGAAACTTATAGTGAATGAACCAATCTCATATGAGGTTTCTAATGTACATGACTGGGAATTGGCAAGCTGTATATCATCATTTGTCCAACGGTTCATGATTTTCAATGGTTATTTATAGTAAGTTAATCAATGGTGTAAACTATTTTGGAGATTCAAAAAAGCCTCACGGGAAATCGCACTAAATGATAAAATGATCTCACTCATTCAAGAATATTTAGTTTCGTCTAAAACGAAATTAACTAAAAGACATTTTCAAACCATTTTCGTTAGTCGAATAACTTTCAAAAGGAAAATAACTCGGATAAATCAGCAATAACTCGGTGAACAAAATTGAGGCACCAATCTGGATGTCACTGACTGATCGATGAGTAGTAATTAATATCATTTTCATTATCTTTTGTGCTGATCGAATTCTGTGGAACACAGAGAGCATTATTTTCCCCGAATCTGCATAGGCAAAATGTTAACTGGTATTAACAGTTTGTGATATAAGTTAGACTGAAGGGAAATAGGAGAAAACATAATCCTATGACTCATTAAACATAATTATTGATAAGAAACGATGGACAATTGTTGAGTCCCGAGAACTACGTAATCGAAGTCAGAAATAGGTTTTTGACTTATGGATTCTGGACAGGATAAATATAATTTTGCAATTACAGCTCACGTTTAGCTCATGTGAGTCTACGTTCAGGTATCGTTAAAGTCTAATTTCAGATACTGAATTATTACTAGCCAAATCATAAACATTTTACAGATTAGACTTGATAGCCTTAAATGTATTGATCATTGGGTAGAAAGTTAATGATAAATATATTTTCGTTTTATCAGCTACTTATTTACTCTGAAGAAGTGGCTTACATTAAGTCACGAAACACCAGAAATACAATTTTTCTATTCATTGAGATAAAACAAAAAATATATATTCATTACTAACGAACATATCAAACACATTTAGATCAAAAACATGTTAGACGAATCAAGATATTGTAGCAACTAAACCTAAACACGCTTGGTAAAGTTTATATTCCAATGTATCACTTAAAGCTGATTACTTATCGATAGATACGAATATTCTCCACCATCTCAAAGAATAAAACTATCCTACTTTTGATTAGTATTTGAAAGTAACTTGATTCTGATCTGTTATATAATGGAAAGTCTTCAATATACATGGTATTCTGAGTTGAAAAAAGACACTTATTTAAAATTCTGTTCTACTCGAAAGTTTTATTTCTGCAAGAAAGAGATTAAATTTAACTCTGGCTTCGTTAATCAAATTTTCCTCTTCAAGAATGAATAGATGGATCTTAACAAGTGTATAAGTAAACTAATATATGTGCATTTCATTAGAAAATAGTTTAATCAGTCATTGGTATCAAAAGATATCTATTAGATAAGTAGATACAATTTATTGAAGATTACCGTATCATATTAGTAAATTATCCCAATCAGGTAAATTCAAATGAATCAATCTTGAATTGATCTATTAATTAGCAGAATTCAAACTAATTATAAATTAATTGATTACAATCATCAAACTGAAATGTTGTATACTATTTACACATAGACTTTGGAAGTACTAAATTAGTCAAGTTTTATCCATATTTGATAAAAACAAAACATAGTGAATCATTAATGATGAAAAGTCTACACTCCGAAAATGTAACATTGAATTACCGTGAACATTTTAAATACATAAATGATTTTTCACGTTTTTATACTTCTTTACCTATTTCATTATATCCGGAAAATAGTCCAGTCGTTATGAAAGATATGTGTAAATCAAGAAAATATATGCCGACTACAATAATTGCGCCTGATGGTAAGTTCATTGCACTGTTATCTGTTTGTTTTTTCTTTTTAAAACATATCACAAAGTATTGTTAATGCATCATTTTGTAGCTCTATATTAAGTAATGATAGTTACAGAAGATTAATAACAGAATTGCCTTGAACTGATTATTATTACTTACTTACATACTTACTTACGCCTGTTGCCCTCAATGGAGCATAGGCCGCCGACCATATATATATATAATGAATAAAATATGCTGTGTCTAGTCACTTTGTATTATTGTTAAATTCAGCATAATAGATTTGGATCTGGTAAGAGAAACTAGATATTACATGTTGCTCAGTGGCTCAATAATAAAAATATAGATATCAAGAGGGAAAAATAAATAATACTCTGCAAAATTACCAATGTTAAGAAAGTAGCGCGTATATATATATTTGTCTATTGTGATCACTTTCATTGTTTTGGTTGTATTTTCCATTGGTTTGATTTTTGTTCCTATGTTTCTGCATAAGGAGGTAAACAATGATAGATTTAAGGTCAACAAGAACCAATCAACATCGAGGTGTACAGAACAAGCTGTTAATCATATATGGAGAAATTTGAACACTTCACTTCTACATGAAGTTTGTGCTGATGATGTCGTTCAAAAGGACGATGGAAGCTTCACGACCAAACTATCCAGCTCCGAGAACAAAACTCCATCAAAATCATCCATCTGACCTACAAATCTTCCCCACACTTTAATGTTTCTTTATGAAATAGAAATATGACAGGTTTACGTTAGAAGATACTTAACCCATTTTTATTTGCTAGAGGCTAGAGTACTAATTTAGAGTTAACCTTTAAGTTGATATCGTCATAGTCATTTTAACATACTTCCTACTTATTAGTGATCTATTTGGATTTTTTTTAATACTGTATTTTAGTAATATTAGTAAAGCACTATTCATTTTTTAGGTTATGTACCGAATTCTCCGGTTCGTGTCAAATTAATTCCTTTGGGGAAAAAAGAATTTGTAAGTAATGTCTTTCATAGATACGATATTGAAATAATATGAGTCTATGTTATGTTGATACTTGTTGGTTTGTTTTCATTAAATTAGAGTATAGTTTATAATAAAACAAATTAATGGCAATCAAACACTTAACAGGTTAGAACAATTTCTAATAGTTTTGTAAATGTGTACTTATAGAATAGAAGAAAAGTATAGTATTCTACCACCAAACTGTGAAAGTCTATTAAACCACTATTTATTTTACTTAGATGGATTTAAACAACTCTTGAAGATCTATAATGAATAGATAGTTATTCATCTGAAGCAAATTCAATTATAAACACATTTGGATGGTAGCTATCAACGAAATCCAGGACGCGGATCTCATCCCATTCAGAATTCATTAAGCTGATGTATCTGTATCCTAGAGCCGATGTTCACTCTGGGAATCAGTAGCTAATTGGAAAACACGTTAGTGCTTGAAATGAAAGGTACTGGATACTAATTCATGAGTGAGTATCATTTTCGATATGCAGATACATCCAGTTGACGACTGACAAACAGAAAAAAGCTCGTTTCTTGAACTCTACTACTAGTCGCCATAAATTTCTGTATAATATACTTGCAACTGAATGGTAATATTGAGGCCAACTGTATAGTATGAGTATATGAGAAAAGAGATTGATCTATTGCAGTTCTAAACATCATTAAGAAGACTCAAATAGAGAATACGAATGATAGAAATCCATTTATTTATATTTATATATATTTTAAATTTTATACATGAATCCGAGAAGTGTTTGATTTAATAGGCATTTATGAACTAAACATTTTAATACTTACGGTTATAAAATAAACTAAACGCTGACTATCAATAAATCCAAAATATTATTTGATGGTTTCCTATCATATAAATAAAAAGTGATCTAATGAAGTTAAGAAAATGTAATCAATAAAATATCATTTGTTTCACTTACAGTAGACAAGTTTTTATGTAAATTGACTAAATTCGGAAATATGATCCATCGGATTCCAATTCATTGATTCGATAATATTGAATTATGTGTAAGATTTGAAAGTTATGTGTGGAGCTCTGTGTAGCATGAGTGAGATGTGTTTAGAGGTTTTAAACTAGGAAGAAGTTGATGTTCAACTCTTCTTCGTACTCGACTACCTCTTAGCTAGTGATAGTTTATGATGAAAGTGTCATGAGAAAAAAATCTAATAACTACCTTAGTAAGTGATTAACCATTTGCATAAATTTTGAAAGTAGGTTGATATTAATTGTCAACTGAAATAACAATGATCTACATATTTTTAAAAAATTGACTTATCCATAGTGATAAATATTTGTCATAATAAATACTTATGAAAGACCTACTAATCTAGTTATTAACTACTTCCTCATTTGGTTTGAATAATTATTGATTATCTCACCCTTTCACAAGTAATTTAGTTAGTTCAATAAAATAAATTAGTTATGGTTTTAAATGGTAATTAACTATTTCAACATTCATTAGTTAATTTAAACAAATAATAAGGGAATCAAACTACTCTCTAATTAAAAGGGTTTTGTGGAGATTTCAGTATTTTCACAGTTGAAATCATGAGTCAAATGAAGCTAAATCATCATCAAAAACCTGGAAGCACTGGACGGCCGTTTCATCCTGTTGTGGAATTCCTCAGCAGGGCAAATCCACGGTCCCGCCTCTCGATATTCGAACCCAGGACTTACCAGTCTCGCACTGCTGAGGAGTCCCATACTAAAACGAAACGACAATCTAGTGCTTCCAGGTTTTCCATGGTGATCTAGCTTCGATTGACTCATGATTTCAATTATGAAAATACTTTCTAATCATTTAAATTAGTTTAGCATTTAAATGTTCATGATTTATTTCTCTTTTTTCTTTGGTAATAAAAGGATGCATTGAAATTTATCTGCTAAATTCACAAATTTCAACTATGAATAAAGATATTTTGTATTTTACAAAATTAGTTGAAAAACACTGATACTACTTTAATCATCAATTAGATTTATGTATTAATTCACATATACGTTTAAGTTAAAGGAAGTTTTCGATAATGTAATAAGAAGACGAAGATTATCAGAACTATGACAATATTTAAATAAATCTAAGTAACTAGAAAGTATTATATAACCATTTTAATTAACTTTCTATTTGACTTATCACCATTAAGAAGCGATTAAACAATATTATTAAATTTCGATAATGTAATAAGAAGATGAAGATTATCAGAACTATGTGATGGTATATTAGCGAAATACATTTCGAACAATCTGATCACACATATACTTGTTAAAAACATTTATATATAAAAATAAAAGGTCAACTACACTGGTAATAAGGTTAAGAAATAGACAAGGATAATAATGATAAAATAATGTGAAAACAATTTGACACCTAATCACTCTGGATAATAAACTTATAGTACCAGGGTAGGTTTAAGGTGAGAACAAACTGTTTTTGAATACACAAAGGGGGGTTGAATTTTCGTATGGCTAAAGCTTCAATAAACCTTAGTATACGCCCTTTCACACTTTTAAACAACACCACAAAAGACGAGTTTAGATCAATCTTATGACCTGTTTCGATTATACGTTTAGCAACAGAGGATGATGGATGTTTATCCTCTACTCTTATTGGGTCATTCGACTGTATTTGTTTTTGCAACCATTTTGGTACATGTTCACCCACCCTAATTTTCAGATCAAGATTGCTCCTCCCTATGTATGTGTGACCACACACACATTTAAATTGGTAAACACAGTGGGATGTGACACAATCGTTTTCATTTCGTCTAGGTTTTGAATGAAGCATGGACCTCGTTCTTTCCTTGATTATGACTTTCGCAGCACAATACGTTTTGTTGATAACAGATTTAAGCCTTTGTTTCAATAAAAGGCTATTTGAATCACCTCTAAATGGTAAGGTGATGTAGACAGGCTTTTTCTCTACCAAGGCTACAGTAGGTCTCGCTGTGCCCTGAACTTTCCATCTATTGATAAATTTAGGTGGATAGCCATTCCCGATTAATGTCTTGGTTAACAACCGAACATCGTCATCAATAGCGTCATTTGTGCAAATACGACGAAGCCTGTTGAAAAGGCACTTTACCAAACCACGTTTGTATTGTACAGGGCTATAACTAAGATATTGACCCGTCCACGTCGGTTTTCGAAAAATGGATCGTTTTATTGAGCAATCTTCTCGTCTGTTTAGAAGTACATCTAAGAAGGGAAGCTGGTCGTTCTTCTCCTCTTCACATGAAAGACTGATATGGTTTTGGATGGTATTAAATTTATTCAACAGGCAGTTTATATCTTCCTTTCTTTCACCAATTACTAAGATATCATCCACATATCTCTTATAAAGTGACATGTTTTTGATTAAGTCTTCAGATAAATTTTCTACATGTGCCATAAACACATAAAACATCTTTAATTTAATCCCATTTATTTTCATTGATATTCGTTGTTGTGAAGTTTGAAAACAGATTGAAACAGGTACTCATTACTTCTTATTTTTTAATGATTTTTCAATTAATGTTCTCTTTTTCAGGCGAATAAGTTCCTATGAGTAACTTAATTAAATTCATATACCTTGTTAGTTATAGTTTTTTGATTTTAAGACATAGAGTTGATTTTGTTTTCTTAATTTTATATATTCTGGAATTAAAACCATCGGATAGTTTGGATTTATTTGGTGATGAAGCTGTCAAAAGTGATATTGGCAGTTTTACAAACATATAATCTGTAATCCTATTCTGAATGTTTAGCTTCCCTAAATCACATATACCTTTTAAGCGTTAAATATAAAATAAGCGGCTTTTGCCGCTTTGTTTATTTATGACGTTAAAGTCTTTTGTAGTTAAAGGTAACTATGAAGAAAATCTAGGTTTATGTTTCAGACTGTTTGATCGATAAATATATAACCATCAAACAGTCTAGACCACAGATCTAGATTTTATTTATAAGGCAACTAAAACTGCTAATGAAATACGTACATGTATCATTTAATGTCATAGTAATAATTAGTACAAGTAAGTTGTACTAATCTCTATCCTACATCGAATAAGCTGCACTTAACTATCATTCTAGCGACATTGTAAGTTATGTCGGCAGATTACGTTCAACACACTACATAATGGTGTTGGTTCTTACCCGATAACTGATCAATGTTACCTGTAATATCTCATAACGTACTAGTTGCAGACAGAAGTATATTCCTAACATTTTTACTAAAGACCATAAAGTATTTATGAATTTTATTTTACGATTGTATCAAATATAGGTCAACTTTTTAGATGAAAACGTATTATTTCATTATCTAATTAATAAATGAATAGACATATGAACATTACGAATTGTTATTATGTTATCTCAAAAAATTATATCTGACCTTTTCATGGAACATTTACTAGAATAGAAAAGTGAACAAAATACAAAGGATAAAGCAGGAAATGTAGGTGGTTTAACATTAAGTTTATATAGTTACATCATTGATTCTGCTTAGTTCATGATGAAAACTATTTAAATATCTATCAAATTAATGATATGTATGAAAGAAACATAATACATTACTTAAATATATTACTGTATAAAGTATCTATGAATTATCCTTGTTGGATTTTAGTTAAGAACACAAATATTCACTTAGTGAATAAAATGAATTCATAATTAGCTAATTATGGATAAATAGAGTTTCTTTTATTGTAAATAGTTTCATCCTTACACTCTGATTTAATGGTATTGGATAATACCTAATATAGAGTTGAAATATATTTGATTGCTTTCTATTTATGTTACTAATTAATTAATAGTAGTCTATCAATTATTCTTTCAATTATTTACCAGAAGTTAGTTTTTACTAGTTTTTTACTAAAACCTTTGAGTCAATTATATGTGGATTCATCAATGGTCATTGACGAGAAGTCTTGAATTAGAATTTAGCTCTTGGTGATTCTCCAAATAGAGTTATTTACTGGGAAAAAATATTCTCAAGAATTTATTCCACAGTGTAGTGGTTTATTGTTTATATCCGAATAATCCTTGAGATTATCCAAACTTTTGATAAAGTATGGAAATAAATTGTTTTCTTCTCAGATTACTACAGTGTTTAGTAGGTTTTATTGCAAATTTAGAATCAAAATGTTCATTCAAATGTAATTGATTTCCTATTGTTCACTTAACTCAGAGGATCATCACTCCAATAGGAGATTGAAAATTCCAAGAAGATTCATCTCATATGACAACTGTTAGGTCGAATTAGTAACAAATAGTGATGTTTAAATTTGCTTGGAATTAGTTTCGGCTAATTCTAACCTCTTGATTTTTAAGATATTAACAAAATAGTGTTTAGCTAATTGATAGTGAACAAGTTTGTCAACTGTTGCGATCACTTGCATAGCCATTGTGATTTATGTTGTAAAAACATTCATTTACCTAGAAATTGGAATAGATACAATTTTGAGGAGTACAACTTTCATGGACGACTTACATCTTAGATATGGTTATTTCGATTCTTCCACCTACAGGGGACATTTCATAAGGATGTCTATTCTGATGATGGTTATACTCAGTGAGTAAAATCATGGTTAACAAGTTCTTTTCACTTATTTTGATTATGAAGTAATGGTTTTCAAACTATCTATTAGGTTTGTTACGATAAAGTATGAGTTTGAATGGAGAAGAGAAACGTTAGACTTAAAAACAATCGGTTAAAGTTGTAGAACATAAGTATTTATCATTGTTGACACTTTATTAAAGAAATAATTCTACACGATTACACGAATTCAACTCGGATAAATCATATACTCATTTTAAAAACAATAACCTGGTTCCTTACAAAACGAGTCTTACATGTATCTTAGATCACAGATACATTAAACTGTTCAATTTTAAATCTCTTTCTCTAGGTGGCACATATATCCTTGTACACCTTTTATCTGACATTTTTAGTGAACTTATAGTCAACCACAAGGTAAATGTATAGAAAAACAAGTGAATCGTACATGTTGAAAACATCATGAATGTTAACACATGATTTCTGAGATATTTTGAAAGCAATACACGTTTCGGAATGGGGCTACTACTTATTTTATCATACAGGTTGAAAACTTTTGTTGTATAACAAAATAAAAGTAATAGATGTAAGAATACAGACTTGACTTACTAAAAAGAAATCACTTGAACGTTTAGAAATTAAAAAGAACATATACAACGTTAGTGAAAAGTGCTAACATAGTTCTGAAGATAAATAGTTACCATAAATGTAAGTGCGAAAAATCTTTAATCGTCAAACAGTTGTAAACATTTAATAATATTAATTATTAAATTCAGTTGGTGTTGTTTATTTGAATCTTCCCATTGATATTCAGGACTGAAATTGGTCAGTTTCTTACCGGCATATGTGCATCTTGTGCGGACTGTCTCGATATTACCTTAACTCACAATCAATATAAGCAAATACGGATAGTGGTAAGCAGTGGAATCTAGGACACGCGTTTTGTCCCATTTGGGGCTCGTCAGCTGAACGAAACGCGCATCCTAGATTCCACTGCTTGCTGCCATCCGCCTTTGCTTATAATATTAATTATAATTATTTAAATAATAAACTTGAAATACAGAACGACTATAAAATTAACTTGCTATTAATAGCTATAATTGTTCACTCAGAAAGTAATTTATTAAGAACTGACGATAGCCGAAAACTGATCAGAAATCAGAGTGTTAGGGAGCTTTTCATATTAGTTCCGTACTACTCAAGAGTATTCACTAAAAACCGGATTAGAAATCCAACTTGTGACCTTTACGACCCTTGTAGGTTCAGAACACAAAATTAGAACTCAACAATAGACATTTCTGACTTCAAACAATAATTAAATAGTTAGACATGTATATTGAATAAAAGAATTCCATTAAAAAATAATAGGAAAAGTCTATATTCAGCCAAAGACTTAGGTAATTTATTATTACTGATGAAAATGAATTTATTCATCATTAATTAGTTGAATAATTTAGGAAATGGGATAATTATCTACTCGTCTCAAGTGTTATAATGAAATAAAAGACCATTTAAAACATGCAAATAACTGATTTGGTAGGAATGGTGGTTTGCTGATGAAAACGAATCCTTACTGTTAACAAAATATATTACAGAAGATTAAACCATTGGCCAACTGACAGATTATCTTAGGTCACAAAACAACTTCTGATTCTTCACTTCTACCTGTTTATCAGTAATATGAATGACTATACAACTTTGATTGATTAAGTATTTCCTGGGGAAGTAAATGATTGTTACACTCATCTGTGACGAAACTAGTTTTGTGGAATTCGATGAAATTTCCATTTAAGGAGTTGATTGGTGAAATTTGGTTATCACTAGCAACTAGACAAACGTTTTTGCTCATTAATCCATCAATACAAATATCTCAATCTCATTTGAGGTCATTCACGGCCTGAATAACATCTTTAAATATGATACTATATGACTCTCGCTAAAATCGCGCGTAAAATGTCAGTTCACGCTTGGATGCACATATATCTTTCTGATAAGTATGATTTAGTATGACGTCTAGGTCCAGGATTTTCAGTTGCCCACAACCGATCCCTACAACCCATTCATCGAATAAATTTACTCATTTTATCAAAAGTCAATCATGAACATACAATTAATCCTATTCTTTCATTTATCATTCTTAGTCTGATGAAAATGCTAACAAAATATTATCATCTATAGTTTCAACGAATAATGACCTATTAACAGTTAACGTTTTAAATAAATTACCTGATATAATGAGCAATATGAAAACTGAAGAAATCGACGATTCAGGACGAGAAGCTGGCACTATGTCAAAACAATCTTGCAGAAATATGAATAAAGATGATTTTATAAATGAACAGACAACTATTCATTTGGTTAAAGCATTTAAGCTGAATCAGAGTGACAAAAGGCAGACCACTTCACAGTATTTTGAAAAGAAAAGTAAGTAATTTTGTAATTGTAAAATAGATTGTTTGGGAACTACTTTTAAATGTAAATGTCTAAAACTACATTATTAGGATTTAAATGTGTTGTGACAAATAAACCTATTTAAGTCCTATTGTCGACTAAATCCTACTACTCCTTTAATTAAAAACATGCGGAGAAAATTTCATATTCATAAAAATGTTTGATAAATTTCCTTATTTACTCCTTATGTCTTTCCTTTTTTTCAGTGCAAGGAGATATAGATGTAAATGGAATGAATAGGAAAATATTAGCTGAATCCGAGAATCAACAAGAAACTACAAGAGTAGAAGATAACAATTTAATTGATTATCTAAGAAGAAACAATCAGAAAACAACACTAAAGAAAAGTGAGAAGAGAACAATTCATACTCTTCCCCCTAATATAGTTAAAGTATATTTGCAACAAATGAGTAAAGAATGGGGTACACTTACAAACGTTATCAATATATTTTATCAAGCAACTAAACAAGATAAATCAAGCATCTATCTATTGGATAAGTATTTTAAGTCAACAAATTTTAGAGTCCATATGATTAACACTATAATTAGTCCTAAATGGACCTTTGTTTATTTAAGTAATTTGATTGGTGATCCATGGGAATTAATGATACATATTGACATCATGTTAAACTTAAATACAACTGTAGATAATATGAGTAGTATGAGAACAAAATATGAAGATTATTTAGGAGACAAACAACATTTAGACTTATTCTTATCTTCTTTTAAAACAACAAGAAATATACTAGAAAATCATTTCATAAATGTCGGAATTCATAAAGAAGAGGTTGCTTTGATCATTTACAAAGCTATTTGTAATGATATTGGTGCTAAACGAAAGATTGTCAACTTAATGAATACCGTTGGATGCCGGCTCAGTGGTCTACCGGTTAAGGGCTCTGGCTTGAGACCGATAGGTCCTGGGTTCGAATCTCGCTAGTGCGGGGTCGTGGATGCGCACTGCTGAGGAGTCCCATAGTAGGACGAAACGGCAGTCAAGTGCTTCTAGGTTTTTGATGGTGGTCTAGCTTCAATTGACTCACGCTTTCAACTATGAAAATACTAAATCTCCACAAAACCCCTTCTGATAATGAATACAAAATACCCTGAAAAATTAATTGATTCATTAAAAACATGCAATAAAAAGAAATTAAAAGTTTTAATTTATAAATCGATTGAAAGATTTAAATCACCTTCAAAAATAGTTTCTTTTAACTTATCACCTTCAGAAAGACGGTTAAAAGATGATAATTCCTTGAAGAAATTGAATGAGGATAAAATAAAGAAAAATATATTATCAGGCACTATTGAACAGTCGAAACATTCAAATATTAAACACAATAAGTTAAATACATTGCATACTATGAGTAAATGTTCAAAAGATGATATTGTACAAACAGAATTGAAGTCAGTTGAAATTACTGACAACATAGAAGTAGGTCTATTTGTTGTTATGATTGAACATCTCTTTTTTATTTTCATACATTAAATATTAAGACAAGCGGAAGTCTATTTCAAACCATCTTTTTTTGGTTGATAACCGAAATCAAACGGACTAATGAACGGACTTAGCTTGAATTTGTCGGTTGTTTCTTATTTTTTAATCGAACTTCAACTTAGTGTCAATTTAAGTGTAAAATTTTGTGAAAATGTGTCAAGCTTATAGTGTAGATGGCGTCGAGTCTCGAATGACTATGATCACCACCACAGTAAGATTACGCGCCCAAAAACGACTTGGTTCCTTTGATAGCTCGTAAACCAGAAGGCTGTAATCGGTCCAGATAAAGTATATTTATTGGCGATTTCGTGATATCGAAGGAATAGCGAGATGTGCCAACGAGTACAGGCAAACAGAGCAGAGCGTGAGAATGTTCGAACGAACAAGATAGACAGTGGGACGAGAAGTGATTTTGATACAGTTAAACAACAACGAGTACAGCAAAACAGTCACTGGTACAATTGGTTATAATTGTTTCCATTATACCAATCGTGTTATCGTCAAAAAAAGCAGGTCACTAGATTAGTTTGATTCACTGTTTAGCTTAAGATCAAAAGCTTGATATGTTACTAACTATATATATATAACTATTATTTCTGTACTGAATTCATAATCTAGAAGTTGTGACTTCAATGATAAGTGTTTCCGGTTGTATTTATTCCACAATTTACCTACAAGTGAGATGAGAATAACTTATGTTCCCACAGAAATGACGGTATCAAACTAGTCCTTAGAAGAAGCAGATTTTGAGATGACAGAGAATCTTTTTTTGTGTAGTAAAAATGGATAATAACATATATACGAATGAACTTTCTGATACTGCTTTCCCTCTTATGAAGTTTCTTGTAAACAAGTCGTCTATACAAAGTTTAATGTAATCTTTACAATAATAAAGAAAATATCTACAGAATCCGTTTTTATCTATTTTAATACCAATATACATCTTTTTATTTTATTTCGGATGACATCTAACAGTAAAATTCGAGAGAGACGTTGACACTCATTTACGAAGCTTGCTTTTCATTGTCTAGAACATAACACACCTCAAATCTTAAATCCAAGCTAAAAATACTCTCAATCATCTGAAAGTCATATATGTTAACATTTATCCATATGCCAGACCAGGTCATCATTTCAAATGAGAGGTTCTAGCATAGGTTATAAAAGTATTTTATCAAAATCTAGTGAATTACTACGGTTTCAAAACATGTTCTACTAAGATCTGGTTGATTAGGAGACTGAGAATGGATACCACCTCCCTATGAAGTCCATTTTCAAATTAAATTTCGCTTTGTAGACCATCTAAATAAAAAAATGTAATACTCACTAATTACTTTCGCTAAGGCAGATTTCTTAATGTTCTAAAATGGAGTGTAGTTATATATCGCTGACCAGTGGATGACTTCTGATGATATCGAACAATACTTATATCATGAGTGCACTTATGCTTGATAATATGAATTATTCGATTCCAATCCAGTAACCGAATGGAGACTTTCTCACTGTAAAGTTGAAAGCTTTCAGGATTACATTTGTATAAGTTCCTAAATGTTGAATATTACAACATTTTTCAAATAAAATGAAACCATCATGTTCCTACTCATTAATATATTACAAATGTATCATTTCTGTTCTAAGGAAATTTATCAATACTGGATGCATTTAAAATTGTCAAGCAATATCTTACTAACGATATTAGCGTAAAGCCATTTGTTCACATCAAAATATTGTTATTACAACATTAGTAGTCCTGTGGGAATATACATCTGAGTTCTGTAAATTGTTTGAATAGCGTATTATCTTGTAAGAAACTTATCGGCAGATTGAATTACCAATTTCTATACTCATTTACAGAAATTTCGTTTTTTCTTTTAAACTAATATTTATTTTGTTTTAATCGACAAGAATGGAGGTTTTAAGAATGTCACGGAAAATATAATTGAGTTCGATAAAACGGAAAATTTCAGATCTAAACCATCAACTGAAGAAACTTCCAAAGGAAACCAGATTCATAAGCAATGTAACAAACGGTCAGGGGGATTAATAGTCAACCACGAATTAAGGGCTACTGAGACTGGAAGAACACCAGAAATAACAATTGGAGGAACAAGAGAAAAAAGAAAACAACATAATGATTTGAAAAGCGAAGAGTTGCATCTGAAAAAAGAACGGAAAGTAGCAAATAAAGACAATGAACTGGATGAAGTAAGTTTTGTCATGAAATTATTGGAAAATTTCTTCGAGAACCCATTAGTAAAACAAGGCGTTCCTGTAGAAACTGTCGAAAAAGAAACAATTCAAGTAGAAGGTGAAACGTTTCAACCGAATACCTTAATAAGATATACAGCTGATTTTGAAGATCCAGGTACGAATACATACGACATTTTATTGAAGTATGTTACTCAAGACTATTTACATATTATCAACAAAGCAGTACATAGTTCATTTGTATCGGTTGTTCCGAATCTTCCCATTGGTGTTTAGGATTGCAGATGATGATTGGGATATGTGCGTCCTGTGTGGATTACCTCGATATTGTCGTAATTCACAAGCATTATAAGCAGAGATGGATGGTGACCGGCAGTGGAACCCGTGAAATGCGTTTCATCGCATTTAAGACTCATCATTTGAAAGTAGTGTAAATTAGGGATTCACTACTCAGTGACTATATGTATCAATGTGAAATTGTATAAATAGTTTTATCAGTTCAAAGATAACTGAAGCTGATATTATTTAAAAATTTTAAGTTTTTCCAACTTTAGGAATTAAAAAGCGTATTCGCAAAGAAAATGTCACCTTTATTTCTGAAGATATACTTTTCTCATGTATCTTAGGCGGGAAAAACCTTAATCCAAGGTTTTCTTTATAATTTATACTGAAGCTAATCGGGAAAATGCAAATTCGATCAATGAAATGTTCTAAGGTGTAAGGTTTCTGTATTCTAAGTTCCATATTATTTTTAATTTGTTAATACCTTCAAAAACTAGAAAAACACAATTACTTGTGAAGTTTTCTTATTCACGCAAGCTTTCCGAATTTCCGCAAACTTGCAGGATATCTGTCCGTCAAGCAAGAAGCGGGTTTTCTGTATAGCAACTCACCATGTAAACTCCGCAGATATGAAGCAGTGGGTATGATTGTTGAAAACACGAGATCCTGACTTTTTTTTACTTACTTACGCCTGTTACTCCCAATGGAGTATAGGCCGCCGACCAGCGTTCTCTAAGCACGAGGACATTAAACATATGGCGCGTCATAAATGCCTTCCAAGGATTCGTCGCATATGTTGGAATCATCATATGTTTAATGGTAAAGTTAGACACGAATTGCCATATTGAAACGACACATTGACTGATGCATCTGTGAAACCTTCATCCACTAAGTGTGGTTAAGTCATCTTTTACTGATGCCACACCACCGCTTACCCCGATATACACTACTACCTGGTACAGGTTTGGGTTTGAAAGACGTTAAAGGGGAGAAAATCAAGACATATGATTATTACAGTAAGCTTATGGTTATCAACTCAAACGAGGCGAAGGTCTTGTTTAGAGACGATGGTCTACTGAAACCAATAATTAGAAACTATATATAACGTTATTCATTATCAGCCACAGAAATTGGTACGTATTCATCTTTTATGATGGTCATCCTTCACTTAATCACACCATTTTTATTCATATTCTGTTCATTTAAATATCATTCGTAAATTTATAACCATTTCAGTATATACACTGTTGTGTTAGATCCAACCACTTGCCTATGCATCACTAATGACAAAATCCAAAACTTCCCGAACTCATGGGAAACGAAATATACTTAAATTAATGAATCTAATATCACTATCACCTCCGATATGGTTCAACTACACTAGTCATACCGGATCCTTCCCAAACAAGAAGGAAAAAGCTGTGCCCTGCTTCTTGGCTTTGTTGATTTCCTAGATTATGGTAGTCAATGGTAGAAAATAACTATAAATTACAAATTTATTCTGTCAATAAAATTGCGGCTAAATGGTAGAGAACAATTGTTTGTATTTTTCTTCGTTTTGTTTTTTAAAACACATTTTAGATGAACTTGTTAAACTGGAAGCGATTTCGTTAGCCGTAAGTTTTCAATGTTGTCTTTTACTGTGTTCATAAAGAAATATCAGTATTACTTTCCTGTCAAAATAATGTTTTCATTTTTATTAATGAAGGACTGTGATATCAGTTTTCATCACTGACTTCGGCTTCAAGACCATTGTGAAGGGGAAGGAATGGAATAACTTATTTGTTCTGGTTTGCGATTCTTCAAGGGGATTAAGACCACATGGCACAACTGAACCAGAACACAGGGATCTCCGTTTTCGACATGCACCAAATCAACGAACAATTAATTCATAAACCTATTCTATGTCTTTATTTGTTTGACACTACCCAAAATTAAGTATTCGTGATGATGGTTGTTCAACCTAATAAACGTTACTTAAAATAATCGGTTCAGATAACAGTTCACATAAACTCTGGTTCTCCTATCTCAAAGATTACTACTTATCAATAGTTTATTACTAGTTACCTGATTGTATTGAAGAGATTCATATAAAATGCATTTTATATAAAAAATAACCAAGTAATGAATAATTCATAATGTTATACGACCAAAAATACTACAAATTAATGTTATGCATTTTACTTCTATATAATTTATGTTCTTAGTCAATGAATCAAGATGAATATCTGCGAAAACTTGTTAAAATGTCATGGTATCCATATAGATCAAGAATGATGAATAAAGAGACAATAGCAAAACATCTACTCAAGCATTTGGACAATATTCATGATTGGAATAATCTACGTCAAGCTGAAATATCCATTATAACTTTACAAAGTTAAGTAATGTTATATCTATTCATTTAATTTTATAATTTATTATTAATTCAAATGGAAACTTGAACTGTGAAACCATTTTACTATATTTTAAATTGTTTTGGCCAATCAGTTAGTCAATTTAAAAATATTTGTATTAAATGGAAATAACATCGTCATGATATAATATTTGTATTATGCTAGGCGGGCTGTTTGAATATCTAGGCTACATGTTCTTACTATCTAAATATTTTAACAATTTGTCTGTTTTTGTTTATTTTAAAATATCATCATGTTTATTAATCGTATAGCCTACTCAGACATGTCTATGAAAAGTTTACGACCTTTCGTTGTGTAATTTACAAAAAAGTATAATCACAGGCATATTGATTGCTGGGAACATGCACTAAAGCGAATGAAGATTATTCAGATGTCGTTTCTTAAACTGTTAACAACAAACTGGCGATCACTCATTGACATAGTGAACTGTTTTCAATTCCTACTGAGTCTAAACATGTATCGTTATTTTAGTGTAGTCACAATTAGTAAATTGGTATTCATTAGTCTAGAAGCTTAATTGTATGTGTTAATTTTCTTCGCAAAGAAACTACTTTTGATTTTTTTTTCATTAAGGCTACTTGGTTTTCTTTTAGATTTTGCTCGTATAATGATTCATAGACTGGAAATTTAGTTTTAAGGTGACTTTTCAGTAGAATTTTCATTCAAGGTTGACAGATTATGAGGTACTCATAAAACATTCTAAACAAATCAATCTGTTCTTCAAGAAAGCTATTTTCAAAAAACATTTGCGTATCATTGCCTCTAAATGATTCATAACAATTAATTACATGATATATTTCCATTTATTATTCTTTAGGGTAAACTCTTACTGAAATATTCAACTTCTTGTCTTTCACTTAAGAAAAAGACACATTTTTTAAAACCTAAACACAAAAATCATGGACGTTTAAAGATAAAACTCAATGAACAAGAGATTCTTATTTGTTCCATCTTAGATGTTGACATAATTATATATTTAGTTGATTCAATTGAACTCTCTTTGAAATAGAATTACATGTTCAACTTTCCGAAGTGTTTAACTTTCTTTTACATTATTACAGATTATATAAACTGAATGATCAATGTAAAAAACATATTCAGAATTATGCTGAGCAACATTTTTTAAAATGGTATCATTTTGTGAAAGAAAGACAAAATATTAGACAGGAAATCAAAGAAGATGCATTTGTTCAAGCTTTGTCTGCGCTAACAATTTTAAGCAACTTTAATGTGAATGTAGATGATCAAATTAAAAAACTTAAAGTAGGTCTTAGTTTGTTTTACCAGGAATAAGTTTATAATACAACTGAATAAAATGATACAATGTCTAATTTTAAAGTAATTAGTCCCTTTGATAATGCAATAAGACAAAGATTATCAGAACTATGTGATATATTAACGCAATACATTCCGAACAATCTGAACATGTACCAAAATGGTTGCAGAAACAAATAAAATCAAATGACTCGATAAGAGTAGAGGATAAATATCCATCATCTTCTATTGCCAAACATATAATCAAAACAGGCCATACGATTGATCATAACTCGGCTTTTGTGGTATTGTAAAAAAGTGTGAAAGGGTGTATACTAAGGTTTATTGAAGCTTTAGCCATACGAAAATTCAAACCCCCTTTGTATATTCAAAAACAGTTTGTTCTCACCTTAAACCTACCCTGGTACTATAAGCTTATTATTCAGAGTGTTTAGGTTTCCAATTGTTTTCACATTATGTTTATTATTATCCTTGTTTCCTCTTACCCCCCCATTTCCAGTCTAGTTGACCTTTTATTTTTATATATAAATGTTTTTAACAAGTATATGTGTGGTCAGATTGTTTGAAATGTATTGCGCTGATATATCACATACTCCCGATAATCTTCATCTTCTTATTATACTATCGAAATTTATCTAATTTTGTTTGTTTTAACACATCATTGTGCCTATTAGTTTCATAACCTATTCAGGTGCGTTTGTGAAAAGTTTACATTTCGCTGTACAACTTACGAAAGAGCCCAATCAGAGACATCGTGGTAGCCGGCAATATGCAGCGAAAAGAATATATATTATTCAGATGTCGATTCCTGCACTGCTAACATCTAACTAGTGATCACTCAATATTTATTGTCAATATCGATCAAGAAATAAGAAACGGAAACTCTCTGAAATACTTTGTGCTGAGAGTTCTATATTATACCAAAAGTATAATATTGAATAAAGCTAATAATAATAATTTGTTAATTTTCGTTTACTATTAAATTCATCTTGTCAAATTTTCTTATGAATTCGTTAACTTCTCTTTATTGTTGCTTTCTTTTTTTGTGTAGAATGCATTTACGTCAGTTAATAAGCTTCAGGTAATTTTAAATTAATTTTGATTTTATTTAAACATCAATATCATAATAAATAAATTCTGATTTAATAGTTGAAATGATGAGTAAACTAAAGCTAGACCACCATAGAAAACCTGAACTCATTATTTCAACTAAGACTTTTGATCCCGTCTCACGAGATTCGAACTTAGGACCTATCAGTCTCGCGCATGAACGTTTAAACTCAATTAACTCATGAATTTAATTATTAAATTGCTATAATATCCACAAAACCTCTCACTGATTAAATTCTGATTGTTTGTCAATATATGTAAAAATATCTGTTTAGGAATATTTATGCACCTAAGTGATCAAGTACAACTTCACTTAATTTTGAGGCAAAAATCTTATTTGTAGTAATGAGTAGTATTGCTTTAATTGTTTAAATAGTGATTTCATCTTCAAGTCAATGTGTAAATATAGAATGAATTATAAATTTATTTAACACTAGAACCATAAAAAACTCTATTAGTCACTACCATGTGTTATAATTAATTTTACTGAACTTTTTTCTGGTTGTTTCGTGACGATACAGGAATACATTTCAGTTGGGTATTAATTAATAACTAATGAAAATATGACATGTACATGTTAGTGAGGAATAATAAATTAGATTAAACATACATTGTGTGAACATAAGTTCTGCTTAATTATAAACATTTGAAAAGTTATGGTTTCATACTGAAAGTAACTTCTAAAACAAGATATGGATTAACAACCATACAATAAACAAGAAGATATAAAAGTAATATGTATAAAGAAAATATAATCATCATAAGGTGAACCAGTTTTTCACTATCATCGTTAATCCAAGGCTTGAGAGCTGGTTTGAATGCATGACATGTGAAACTATCATGATGAGAAATAAGATTGACCAGATGAAAAAATACAAGAGAAATAGAATAACAATTCAGTATCTGAAAAATATAGTTTAAAAGGAAACAAAATCTAAAAGCTAAAGTTAGGAGTGAAATAGGAAAGAAATAGGCACATAATGAATTTGACTATGTCAATGCGATCGATTAATTCATCTATTTATCTAGACAATTATCACATAAATAGCTCTAAAATTATTTCTATATTAGTACATAAAGTTCTTTAACCGAATCGTTTTCTCAACAAACTGTAAATACTTCCACTATTTAGAAATGAATACAAGTATATTCAATATTCACATGTAATTTATTTGTTGCGAAGGTCACTTGTTAAGATATAACTTTTTTCTTACACATAAGATCGTCTTGTCATCAAACATTCTTGGATAGTAAGTGATTGATTGACTATCTTAATCACTGATGTATTCAAAAAAGCCTGTGTAAATTATCTTTGACTTATAATCTAAAATGTTTCTATTTCTGGCATTATTAATAAATAAGATTAAAATACATTTATTTAGGAAACAGTTAAACGAAACAATCAATTCCATATGAATAATTTAACTTCGAAGGATACAACAAAACAGGACAATTTAAACACCTCTAGATTATGTAAAATACTTGATATAATGTTTCAATTAGACGAAGTGTTTCAAGAAAGTAGAGCAGATGAACCAGATAAAATGCAACAAAACGAAATGGAACTTCAAACAAACGGACTAATCAAATTTAACAAATGGAGACAAACAAACCGCAACAAAATGCCTGATGAAATTTTAAAGATAATAGGATCTTCATCATTTAAGGAGAAAGATGTTAGATTGCACAAGTATTCAATTGAAGCTTTCTCAAAAGTTAAAACTAGTGATAAAGCCGAAAAGTTTGATGAGAATATTGAATCGTTTGAATCTTCTAGAGATAAACTTACATCACATAGTATACATATTGAAAGTGATGCTTTAGAAAACAATAAAATAAAAACGTACCTGATTGGACAACAACTCAGGTTATCAACTCGTAAAAAAACTCCACAGGGTCGAACAGAAATGAAAGAATTTTTATCAAATCCTAAAGAAGTTTTAGCAAAGCAAGTTAAAGAATTGCCGAAAGCACCCTTCCAGTCTTTAAGTTTGAAAAGTCTTGAGTTAAATTATCACGATTCAGAGAGATCAACGAAAAATGGAGATACTGAAATGTTAAAGAGGTAAACACTTGTTTTGATGGGGCACAGAATGAACCTTTGTTCGCAGTTCATAATAACTGATTACCCCATGTGATATCAGTTAAGAGCTGTGAATGAATCTAATATAAATCAATTATTTACTGTTGTCTGAATGTTTTTATTCAAAAATGTCTATTTATGGACACAAAACTTAATGAAAAATATTGTTTAACAGTTCGATGAAAGTTACTGAAGGACCTAGTGTAAGTGGGACTGCTTTCAATTAATGCGTGCTATAGCGAAAACATCAGTACATCAGTGACTGGAAAACGACATAACACTGATAGGCGGACCAGTGAAAAGATTGAAACGCAGAGAATTCAATGACAACTTTTTTTCCCTTTTCTTACGGATATTAGTTTTATAGTAAGTGATTTCAGGATTTCTCTGAATGCATGTCATGGAATGCTTCATACTGACTCTGTAATGTTGTGAGGTCAGCAGTATAAATAAGACTTCTCAGTTTAAAACCGATCAGTCAGGAATAACAGTAACTGAAGGAACAAACGCTATATTATATACGATTCTATTAAGTTACTGCGATAGGAAAGCCTAACCCTTACACTGTGGTGGAAGGTGTGGTTGAGAACAACAACAGAACTAAATGACTTGAAAATAATCGTATGTATTATATAATTGTATGAATATTAACATTCATCATTGAGGAAGATCTTGATATCTAGCAAACTTAAAAGTGCGACATCCAGGACTGTTTCTAGTTAAGATGTGTAGCTCAGGTGGACGATTTTGGTGGAGTTTTGTTCTCTGAGCTGCATGGCTTGGTCGTGAAGCTTTCATCGTTATTCTGGACGACGTCATCAGCACAAACTTTAAGCAGAAATGAAGTGTTCGAATTTCTCCATACATGACTCATAGCTTGTTCTGAAGACCTCGATCTTGATTGAAATTAATTACAGTAGACAAAATTTATCTGTCAACATTTTCCAAGTAGTTAACCCAACTAATGTGAACAAAGATGAATGAACGATAACAGTTAAATTTAATAAATCATTAATTTGTAGATTATAACTAATCGATTTTATCTCAGAAAGGTTAGGATATTTTTGTTTTTTATTTATTGTAGAAATACAATGGCTAATGAAACTACTAAAATGTTAATTAGTAGAAAAAACAGTCTCAATAAACAAAGGACATCAAAAAAAGAGGAAGTTAATGTAATTAAAGCTCAACACTTTACAAAATATAAAGAAAATCTGATGAATAATAGACAGCATCTTCCTAAAAGCACAGCAATTAATTTAACAAACAGTATAATAAATAAACCCTGTTTTGTAAAAGATAGTTTGACAAGTATAAGTGAACAGTCTTTATTTGAAACAGCTTTACTTACTAAATCAGGCCCACTAAACCGGGAATTATTTCCACTAACATCTGTACAGACACTACCTAAAATAAGGGAGTTAAGAAAGCAGGAAAACCTTGGTCGAACTCCATCGTTCACGAATTTGGTAATGAACTTTATGTACAAAAAATCAAAACAATTTAAACGGCAAAATTCAAAATTTAATTTTTCAGTTGAAACGTTATATGAATTGTCTTCATTACATAATAAGGCGAAACAAGAAAAGAAAAAAGTAGAGGTGAATAAAATGAACAGAACAAATGGACTTACATATAGAAAACAAACTTTAGAAACTCCTAAAATTCAGATGGAGCCTTCATTGACTATCACGTCTCTTCCAAAAATAGGATCGATTTTGACAATACAATCAACTTCGTCCATTATTTCACGACCTGCTTATAAAGTAATTCAGCAAAAACCCCATAAAACACAGAAAAAAGCAATAAAACCATCAGAAAATCCATCAGATACAGATATCAGGGACTTTGATTTTAATTTTGATACACAAAATTTTTTACAGCGGTTCGTCAAAGTGCTGGAGTCAAACATTATTCCATCATGTAAGCAAGAAGGTTTAGTGCCAACACTTAAACTTGAAAAAGACAACATATCAGCATTAAAACCATTGTGTGAAATATACTGGGGGTCATCAGATGTTAACCAAGGAATACTGAAGCAGCCACATTGTGGACTAATGTTTAAACAAAAATTACTCATGGAATTAATTAATTCACTGTCTATCGAAAGAAAACAACTGAAGAATGAGAAACCATCTACTTTGCCAATGATCAATATCCTAAAACAAAATATATCTTATCAGATATCAACTTCAAAATCTATGAACAAGAAGCAAGAAGACCTTCCAGCTGATAATGTAAATGATTTGTGTAGAATTATTCATCATTCACAAGATAAACTATCACCAAAAGAACTGACAAATTTATTAGCAGAAATCAAAATTGATCATCAAAAAGCTTCAAACACAGTAAACTTGTAAGTTGCACTGATACAGATTGGTTGAAAAAATAATTTTGTAAATATTTTGTTTCTATTTTTGATAAACAAGGTAGACTTAAACTCCGATAAACACTTTAAAACTTACTGATTCTTATTTACTTTGGTTAATATCACTAATTCATGACTTGAAACTATACTGGAAGTTACCTGCTATTATAATTTCTAAAAAGATTTCGGTATAAAAAACAATCATATCTATTAATTTTTCAATTGAATTCATGATTCAATTGAAGCTAGACTATCATGGAAAACCTGGGAGCACTGAATGGCAGTTTCGTCCCAGTGTGGAACTCCTCAGCAGTGCGCATCCACGATCCCACTCCCCGAGATCCGAACTCAGGACCTATCGGTGTCGCGCGCGAACACTTAACCTCTAGACCACTGAACTGGCATCCAACGGTGTTAATGTCTAACTTCAACCAATCCACGAAATTGAGCCACTGTCCACCATTGTCTTCAGTGAGTTCCTATCTCACAACAGACCCGGTTAAACTCTACTCCAATCATATTTATTACTGTAAAACAGAATTGATGAGTTTTGTAATATATCAGTTACTTAACAAAATTTGGTATATTTCATACATTTATTTCCTTTTTTTATTCCATGAAAGAAGGAATGAGAATAGTGTTTTAAGAAGAATAACATAGACTTATTTCATTTTAAAATTACAGATGAAGTTTGTTATATTTTTGTATAAATGAAGTTAATTAAAAGTTAGTGTATGATTTATTCTTCAGTCATATTGAAAGAGTAATTGGTGTAGAGTAGATTATTGGACTCTTACTTAGTGACAGAATATTATTATATTTAGTTAAACCCACAAAACAATGACTTTACAATCCATCTACGAAACAACTTATAGTCTTTTAAAAACAGGCAAGTGTGTTATTTTCATATTTGGAATCGAGTGAATATCCGTGAAAAACATATTTAGATTTGTACAGATATTTATCACGAATACAGTTAGTATAACTCAATAAAGTAAATAAAATCTCAATAGATATATGAATGGCAAAAATCAAAATACAAATAAGGTAATTGGTAAAGAAAGTAATAACCATATGATAATGATTATTTAATCAACTAAGACTGTATGTAGATTTTAAAGGAATATCAGCCATTTCACTTTGTATACATAAAAACTCACCCATTACTGTCATTGTAGCAAATGATAATAAATTAACAGTCCATCAAAGAATAGATTGTGAAAAACTATAAGAATAAATAATTTTCTACGGGATGGGGTCGCTAACCCCATGCCCGACTCTCCTCCTTTACCTGGGCTTTGGGCCGACAGTAACTATAGAAGAAATAAAGGCGGAGTTATGGACAAATAATACAAAATATAAAATACCGAAAATGTATAATATATATAATGTAACAAATATTGTTAGAATCTAAACAAATTATAAATATTTAATAGGATGAATTCACTTGGTATTGCTTACTTGAATCTTCCAATGGATGTTTAGGATTGCAATTAATCAGTCTCTTATTGGCATATGTACATACAGTGCGTATTGCCCGGGTTTGAGTCCCAGAGTGAACATCAACTCTGAGATGCAGGTACATCCAGCTGACGAGTCCCAAATAGGACGAAACACTCGTCCTGGATTCCACTGCTAGACACTATCCATCTTTCCTTATAATTTAAAAAGATGTTCTAGATGAATGTAATATTCAGAGTTTGTGATGTTGATTTGCCAACTCTTGTTAGCTTGTGTTTACTTATTATAATATCACTTAAATACTTTATTCAAATCTTCCAAGTCTTTGGTTACTGCTCTAATGAACTTTTTACGAACTTTCTATGAAGTATGATATGCGATTGTAATATATTATCCAATCTTTCTTAACTCTATTCAGATTCTAAACACCTTTGTCACACTATACAGATATATGTTAACATTGACTTTGGTTCAGGTTTATTGTTATAAAATCGTGATCAACTTATTGTGTAGTTGTGTTCTCTGGGCTGGACCGTTTAATCATGAAGCTTTCGTTGCCTTTTCAGACATCATTAGCACAAACTTAAGATGGAAAACAATTTATTTAAAATAAATTAAAAGAGTTATACTACAACTAAATTAAAAAATACAATTTATTGAGTTTCAATTTTACAAAAGTTTCAGTTCAAATGTATGAATGATCTTCAGTGCAAAATGCGATTCCATATGAAATATCAGACTGATTAAGCCCTTACAACCAACCTATTAGTTTGACCATAAGCCAACTCTAAATATTGATTCCCTATCCCAATAATAGGTATTTATAACAGTCTTTTAGTTTCAAAACTTGTAAATCACAGCTTAACTAAACGTGTGCTCTGATTTTCCAAATTTTTAAACATTTGTTAAGTAATTACATATATCAGCAGAGTAACGTAGTAACGAGGTTATGTAAGATGCTTAACTTATCATTGAGACTACATGTCGAAAACCCACATTGAGACACCGCATTGATTGATGTATGTTTCTCTCCACCCATCAGTTACAGCAACGAGCCGAAACGACATCGGGATTCTTGCATGTCAAGTCAGTAATATTTGATATAGATCATGGCCAGAGTTCATGCTGTTAAAGTTTATATAAAGCACAATACAGTTCATAAAACACTAAACAACAAGTGTGTTATTCAAGGAGAAATGTTGAGACAGAAGTTATATACATAATTTGGCTAAAAATCTAGAAACTTGAAGATGTTACTTATTACTGAAATGCACTGTAATAATAAAGTGTGAAAAACTATTGAAGATAACTATTAAGGTTATTTTACTTAATATTTTCTTGGTATTCTTTTAACTGAGAAAGAATGTACGAGTGTAATGGAAGAACGTATGAAGGATCAAAAGCATTTCATGTAGATTCAGATAAGCATAAGATATCAGTTGAACGAGCCAATCTACTTAGAATAGAATCACATACCTGTCAACCGGTACTTGGAAAGTTTCACTGTCGTTATGAAGCACTGGCGAGAAAAAGATATCAGAATTTAGGTCTCTCAATTTCCAATCACATTACTCGGATGAATTTAATTGAAGAATGTATGCACAAACCAACTCAACAAAGAAGTAAGCGAAATAACTCCTGAAATTTTTCTTTATGTATGTGTGTGCACATATATAATTTTATGGGCGTACATATTTTCACCTTGATACAGAGTTTAGAAGTCACAAAAAGATGTGGACTAAGTTTAAGAATCCAGAGGTTACTTTTAAAGGCATTGTAAATATGGATTCATCAGTTGTCAGATGTTTGAGTAAAGTCGGTAGAATAAGTCTACATACACTTTCTCGCAATATTGTACTTTTTATGGTATCGATCTCCCAAATGGATACTATCCAGAAGTATAAAACGATAACAGACCCGATAAAAACCAAATGAGACAAACGGAAATTCTGATCAGATAATTTTAGACTGTTTGAAGCTAAAAGCGTAAGTGAACACTGGACTATTTTCTCAGTAGATGGAATATCAGACTGACTAGTGAAACATATTTATGTATGCAAGAACTGTCAAATCAGTCGGCCTGACAAATTAAGATCATATCTAAGGCACGAAAGCTAATGGGATATCGAAACTAAAATCAAGCCCTCATATCCACTCGCTAGTCAATCGAACCTTCAAAAGGCTTCGCGAGGAATGTAAATCTATAATTTAGAGACAAGAATTCACAAAGACCGTCGACTGAATTATCGGGCGATTTCTTTATTATGGTACAACCTAGTTCCTTCTATCATACTTCTTAAATGTTAAGACAGGTGATACATCACATACGGATCAATTTAGATTTCTTCCTCTCATTTTCGACAAAACAGAATGGTGGTTAGCTAATCTAACTTTCAGTCGTTGAGTTACAGCTTCAAACACAACTATACTTATTCTGATTTAGATAGGTGAAAAGTATCACCAGGCCTCACGTAGGAAAGTGCGACAAAGTCAAATGTACAGACGAGCTTGGTTGCTCAGTGGCATCAATTCCAGTCAACGGAAGAAAACACGTATCATCGAAGAAAAATCCAAACGTTAAAACAACAGTACTGTGTGAACGGTGTTTACGATACTGAGAAACTATCAAATTGTGGCCTATTGATATCGATCGTATAAAGATAACAATATTGCATGTAGTAGTCAAAGAATAATTCATCTTAGTTATTAGACATGTGCTGGGAAATAATGTGTTATCAAATCAACCAGCGAAAGTATTTGCAAATAGATTGGAAATGATAATGGAAAACACCCTGATTCTGCTTGGACTTGGTTTCACTAGCGTGTCCTATCATTGACTTCTGAAGCATAATTCTAATTGACAGTTATTTTTATGAGTTTAAAAAGGAAAGCACTATTTTGTCAAACAAAACCAATCGATTAGGACAGATACGGATGAACATTAGGCCTGACAAACCCAATAAACTCATACCTCTACATGGAGGTTTATGTGGGATGAAAGATAATAAATATCAAATAGAGAATTAACGTCTAGAACAGATAGTTGCCAAAATCAAAATGTATTTACACTTTGCTTTTCTAAGGCGATGAAATATGGTTTCTTAAAACATTGGATAGCATATACCAAGACAATATCAATGCATAATTGAGCAATCAATATACAAACTGTAAGTAGGTGGTTGACTAGAATGACATAGTAAGTAACAATAACGGACTGTTCTGTTAATTTATTGGAGTGAAAGAACAAGTCATTTCCCCAAAATAAATTAAGGGAGAACAGACATATAATAAACGATGTATTCATGTTTAGTTTGGTAATTAAAGGGTAAACCTATTGACGACAATAATTTGCAATTCTATACAACGATTCTTCTGCACACTGGTTTCTAGTCTTAAAGACTCTACACAATGACCCTAAATATAGGGACTGGTGTAATTTCTGAAGTTGAACAGTTAAATGACCTTTCGTTGATTGTACAATTATCTGCGCAAGACTATATATTAACGTTGACTGTGAGTATTCTCTCTATATCAAGTCCTAAATTACTGTCAACTTTATAGATATTTATACGTATTTTGTTATTATAATTAGGTTAAAGCATTAAAAACTATTATTACTATTATTATCGTATAAACATAAAACTTTACTCATTTTATTCAGCAAATCAAAGAATCTGTGGATCAATCAGACAACGGTAAGTTTTATAACATAAATTATTTTATTTTTTCAAGGGAATATTTATTTGTTGATTTTCATTAACAAAAATAGTAACAAATAAAATAAAGACTGAGCTACAAATCAAAAAAAGTTTACAACCCCATTAGTAATTAAGGACATAAAACAGTCAAAAAATGTGGGCAGAAGTTAAACTTTTCCGTTCTTTATTATTTTTTTTATTTGTCTAGCATCGAGTTAGGTGATTCTTGAGATTCAGTAGTACATAGTCCACAACTTTTAGTGGACTTGGATAACTGAAAATGGAAAAAAACATTGGAATATTAAAGTATTCAATATAAATATTCTCATTCCAAGCGTTGTGTGAAGAAAGAAATGTATTTATTGTTTCGAAATAAAAAGTGGTAATATGTAAATTATTTTATTGCCTAATATTTACCTACATATATATAGGGATTTTCCAGTCATTCATTTCTAAAGTAACTGCACTACTACATTATATCAATGAAACAGATAGTAAACAGAATTTACTAGGGCTCACTTGCAACAAGTTGACACCACATACATAAATGAAGAATTACCGTCAAATTTACAGCACAACCAATTTGAAGTTGTGTTTAAACTGAAAAACCAGTATTTTGTGGGGACTATTTGATATGTCTAATACAATAACTAGCAATTTCATCTATTAGACTTGACATTATCTCAACAAAGTTCAATTACCAGTTCAATGAAGGATTAGCTTATACGATCCCATTTTTCTTTCTGATAAAAGTTTTAGAACATACCTCGGTATTGCTATAATTAACTTGATGAAAACAACGTAACAAAGTAACTTTCATTTTTATTAGAAGTTCCTAAGGTGATATTTAGAACTATAGTTCGTCAAGCTATACAGCGAGAGGAACACGATGTTTTTTCAGTTTATTTGTTTATTTATTTGAACGCATAAGTATTGGTACAAAGGGGCACTGAATACATATGCACCACACAAGTCACTTGATTTGTGTGTGGGCTATGATACTGCCCGAGTGCCCAGACCGAAGCAAGTGGTTTACTTAGGTGGCCACACCCGGAGCCTTCGACCTAAAGTTTTGATCTCAAAGGCAGTGGAGCAACGTTAGGGGATGCAATCCCATGGTAGCCGGTGGCCAATAATTGATTTATACGCCATTTGTTTCCTTAGGATCCTGTGTGCACCATTAGTTTAGAATTACGATTTTCCGACTCTCCTAGGTAGACCCCCTGTGCCCACCAACCCGGTTAAAGCGCCGAACATTCGCTTTTTGTAAACAACACCCCCGCCGCGAGAAGGCAGTAATTAGGACTTCCCTGGAAGTGGTTGTATGCACATGGCCATGTGAAAGCATTTCAAATGGAAGAGCTGACTTTTTCCACTCTTGGTCGTACCAGGGCATTCGGTATCATGTTGCAAAACCCCAATTAAACCGTAGCAATAGTTTTTGAAAACGATAAAATATTAGACTTATATTTAGGAAATCGTTAGTCAACGTAGTAGCCGATTACTTGGACACAGATCCTCTCATGAAAATAACAGAGAAACTTAACTGATGGGTTGTTTTTAAAATTCCATTGACTTTGGGATCATATAACTACTCAGAAGCATCAAAACCACATATTATTCGAGTCAAAAAATTACATAACACGTTCTTTATTAGATCTTGACAAATATGCAATTTCAGTGGTTTTCTGCCTTTTATTTATTGATTGTTCATAAACGACCGATTACTATGGACATATCGCTAAGATATATGTCTATTTGCTTAACCTGTCCGAATAAAGTTGGAAATTTCCATTTAATAACACACAATGCACTAATCACGCTTACGGTTCCAGAGTACTTTTTCTCCCAACCAACCCTAATATATGTAATCTGTTCAAGGTTGTTCTTAAGCAACACTTCGACAGATAGTCTCGAATGCGCTAACACCACACGCTATAAGTGAGGCTTTTAAAATACATTATAAGTAACTGATATATATAGTGTGAGGTTGAAACACTGGGTTATATTGTCATAAGGTGAATACACAGACTACTGTCGAGTACTGAAGGGTACAGGATTGAAAAAAAGGTTCTGGTGCAGGTGATCTGATTGGCACAGCCTATTTACACAACCAAGTTATGTGGATAACAAAATAGTCCGCCTTTTATTACTGTCTCTACGACCCAATCAAGTAGTGATAGACCGATGTGTCCCAGTCATATGCAGCTAACTTTCATACCATACCTTTATAATAAACTGACCACCTCTCGGCATTTTTATTTAGCCTCAGAGTTGGCAAATAGTGTGCTATGTGGACGTTACTGACACATTGTTGTTTTGGTCATCAGAAAAATATTGTTAGCAGGTCAGTACCTGTGAACCTGCGACAATGATTGGTTTGTAGCAGAACAAACAGATTACTTAAAAGTAATAATTTTCGCCTATCCAGATATCCAAGCACGTTTTTAAGAAAAGACAGCTAAAATGTATCTTGAGATAGATAACTACAATGGCCAAATACAATGCCTAACAATGAATTCGTTATCTGGTGGTTCGAGTAAACTTACGTTTTAGATTACAAGAATAAGCTTTTAAGTGTCAGTTGTGGTATATATTTGTTTGTTCAGTATTGAAAATCAAATATACAAGAGTGCGCTGTCATGACTTAAGAAAGGGGAGACGATAGCTGAAGTGAGGCATAAAAAGAATCAATGTACTAAACTATAAGTATTGTTCGTACGTGTTAGGACCAGTGGATTGGGCTTATTAAATGCAGTTCCAAAAAAATACACGTTAATCTTATATAATCTGAATGCAGACCGTTTTCTAAGCGCATAGTTCGTGTTCTTGTATTAACGTTTCAGCACTATATAAACTGAATAAAGTCTCAAAACGGATCAGTTAAAAACAAGACATAAATCCACGGGGTTATGACTGATAGATCTGAACCCCATGAATAACTGTTTGTCAAGTAGATGATGTCTTAATAATGCTGAAAATTCATTGGCTACACACAAATATTACACATTTCTGTCTACCATTCACTAATATTCCACTTGTCGATATCAGCATTGTTTCAGTATCATTGGTTTCCTCTTTTCTTTTAGGTGCGATGGAGTCAGATGGTGCATTGCAGTGCCAAATTCTTTATGTTTTAGATTATTTTTAGGAAATTGATCCGATGAACCTATACTTCTGTCTGGTTTCCACACTTAATACTAACCATTTTAGAACATATCCACCCCTTAGATTTAGGTTAAATTAGAGTAGGTTGAATTTAACTGATATACTTTGAAGAAGCTTTAACTAATGTGATAACGATTCGAATACTGACGGCAAAACGAGTGTGAATATTTAAAATTAGTCAGTCTGCACGGTGTACATGAAAATATAACTCACCTGCTCGATAAAAACAATTAAGTTTTGGTTCCAGCAACTCATTTCTCATCTAACTTGAATTATTGTGCAAATCTCAGTTTTATTTTTAAAGAACCCTTTGAGCGAACCCATCAGATCAACTACAAATCCTTGGGAGGCTATTATCATAATATTGCACCGTCCACATTCGTAGTTTAGATGCTCATCAATTCAGTGAACAGTAAATAGTCATTGCTAATACATGTAATTCCTATTTCTCTTCCGATAGGGTCACATAAAATAGCTCACAGGTCATTACGACATGTACACTAACAGATATGTCTTAAAAATAAAGTGAGCTACTTACGTTTTGTAGTTTCTCTGCCAGGGATCGAAATTCAATTACTGCATCATAAAGAGTTTGACGTAATCTCCTTAGTTCCTCTGAACGTCTACCCAATTCTAAATCCAGTTCTTGTGAATAGGAAGACAAATTTTCCATGTAAGACCTTTTGAGAGGCAAAAGGTGAGCCCTAATATCTTTCTCAGGATCTCCAGAAGGTCGCCTATACCAATTTGTAAGGACATATTGAAGTAAGTTACCAGGATTTCGTGTGGTTTAGTGTTCTGTTAACTTCTTCCAGCAAGATTTCTTTGTTGTTTATGTCATACTGCGAGAGGACAGCTGAGCAGGCTTCGGATGAATTCTTCTGAAAGTCAGCCACGATATCTTGTACAATGTTGTTGAACCAAGCTGTATCTTTAGATCTGATATGGCTGCATTTATCTTCAACGTTTTCGCTAAAAAATAATAGCAACTTGAAAAAACTTACAGAAAACATCTCTCCAACTTTTGAGTTATCTTTTGCAGGGCGATAGTGATTCTTTGTTCAGATGTCGATGTCATAGGGACGACGAACCTTATCTCTAGCGCCACAACCTAAGAAATACACAATCGGTGCGAAAAAAGACGTTTTCACTTTGATAATCTTTCAAGGAATGAGAATGATGCTTGAAGATGTCGTCAATAAATATCATGTTAGACAAAATTTAAACCACTCTCAGGAGCAATAACTCGAGAGCGCTTTTCTACATATTTTCAGTGACTATTATTTTCCGGTTCAGAGTCAGTCTAAACTCGTTCAAATTCCTTCCCTTCTTAAATTCAATTTTTTGTTATTGCTTAAAAGTAGTCCTTTTTAGTCTTTAATGCACAGGAAAGGAATTATTCCATTTTGGTTATTGAGGAAGATACTGTCTTAAGACTACTTCAGCATCTCAAACCTGATAAGTCCAGTTGTCCTGATGATATCCATCCTAGGATTGTGAAAGCCCTATCAGACAAAGTTGCTGAACCTTTAGCGATACTGCTTGATATGTCCCTGCAGCAGTCCAGATTTCCCAGAGATTGGAAACACACGATAATTAGTTCGGTGTATGAGGCTGGGAGTAGAGATTTAGTTAGTAACTACCGACCCGTCAGCTTAACTAGTGCAGTTGTAAAACTGATAGAAAAAATTATTCGCATTGCTGCTATAAACCATGTGGAAGGACATGATCTTTTATCCAGGGAACAACATGGTTCTCGGAAAGGCCTATCATGTTTGACAAATCTTCTCATTGCAAGCGAAGATTGGGCTGAGGCAAAAGATCGCAATATTCCTGTCTATGTGATTTTCGTAGATCTAAGTAAAGCCTTTGATAAGGTCTCTCATTCTGGTCTTAAATTAAAACTGTAAACTTTTGGAATTCATTATGCAGTCATTGACTGGATAAGTGACTTTCTTCATGACAGGAGACAAAGGGTAAGAGTAAATAGAGCTCTCTCATAGTGGGAACCTGTAAAAAGTGGAGTCCCCTAAGGCACAATCATAGGTTCTCTTTCCTTTTTACTTTATGTAAATGAATTACCAGCTATAGCTAAGCCAGATTTGGAGATCCATATATAGCATGTCAGACAGAATAGTATTACAGGAAGATCTTAACTCATTAGTGGCATGGATGAACGGGTGGTCACTAGAAGTAAATCCTAACAAAAGTGTAGTGATGCAATTCAATAACTACGATGATTCGTATTACTACACAATATGTGGACTAGTGTTGCCCAAAGTAAGAAACTATAAAGATTTAGGAGTCATACAAAGTAATGATCTCAAAACAACCAGTCACTGTAAGGCTGCTGCTGCAAAAGGCTGTAGGGTATTATGGTTTATTCGTAGATTTTTCGGTAACTGGATGAGGAAATGTTTAGATTATTATACCTAACTTTCATGCGACCACATTTGGAATATGGGATTCAAGCAGCAAGTCCTTGTTTCAAATATGAGGCGGATATGTTGGAACGAGTCCAATGCCGCGGTACAAAAATGGTAAAAGGCCTATCTCATGAAGACAGACTGAGACACCTCAACTTATTTCCGTTATCCTACCGGCGAATACGAGGTGATCTAATATTGGCATATCGTATCCTGAACGATGACCTTGATACTAACATGTCCTGTATTTTCCTTCCATCTACGGCTGATCATTTGAAAAGACATTCGAAGAAAGTCCAAACACGGAGATCAAATCGTCTACGTCAGGACTTTCGTTTCTCGCACCGAGTAGTGAATTACTGGAATTCTCTACCAGAACACGTAATATCAGCACCTTCTGTTGATATATTCAAGACGAGATCGCACCTCCACAGTGTAACAAACTGCAAGGATTAAAATAGGTCAATAGACTTCCTATCCTTATAACTGAAGACTGGTGCAAAACGGTTACAGATATAATGTAAAGAAGCTTTCGCTTAACAGGCTTCCGTATCTAGTATAGGTGGATCAACGATGCCTACAGGTAGGAACCTAGATATATTAACGACAAAATGGGAAAACAATGGCGAAACCGCTAAATCATACGTTTATTCTTACTTTTAATAAAAAAATGGACAGCCAACGTTAACTGTTAGTAACACAAAGTTACGCATAGGCATACACTCATTCTTGTGCCTATTTTGCACTTTGGGAACTTTTCACATGATGTATATCTGGCGTACTCATATTATCTTACCTGGTTTGTCTGTTAAATATCATCTACTTTTTGGTAATTTTGATTTTTATTATCACCCTAAAGAATTGTGGTCGAGTTTTCTAGATGAAACGTTGGAAGTATTTAAATTTCAATCTCTGGAATCATTTCAAGTTTAATTTTCACAGATACACCTAACAATGATCTATAGCCCTAGACGACCTAGAAGCGCGAAATTTGAAAGTGGTAGCATTTTTTCACGTGGTCTACAAATTCTTAGACTTGTTCTTTTGTAGGCTGTATTGTCCTTAGATTATCATCCTATCGCGTTTATCGCTCACACTTTACTCTAGGTTAATAAATTTTAACCGACACTTGCCCAGTTAATAGAGATTTCACTGATCAGTACTTCCCTATATTATAACTGAACACTTTTTATCTGTAATACGTTATATACTAATAGTCCCTGATCCTAGTATTAACCCGGTTAATACGTAGAATTAATCATATTCTCATACATATCTGTTATACAGGTTTTTAACTCATACAGCTTCAAAATATGTCAAGTAATTTGGGTAAAAGAGAGATTTCACCAGCTTTCAAGCCTACTAAAAGGTCAAAGTCCGTAACTCTTAAGACTGATGACTCAGTACCTGAAAATGATAAGCATTTTTCCTTTGAACCCCATTCTACCTACCCACAAGTGTCACTAACACTACCTGATTCTGCAAGTAACAACCCCTTTATTTCTTCGTGCAGTATGCCAACGGTAAGACTAGTTGACATAAAAAGCGAAATGCCCACGTGTACCAAAAAGTCAACACAGTCCACCAGACCGCATGTTTTGCTTAGGCCTAGGTCCAATATACCAAAAACCAAAGAGTCTAACAGTGTATCTCACGTATACGAGAATGCTGATCGATATAGTACTGACATTCGTCAGTTACAAAACTCCCTAGCCGAAATTTACAGTAGACTTAACCAACTAGCACCCCTCACACACATATGGGGTATTAATACCGATAAAAATCTCGAACAACTCACAAAAGCTGAGTGTATTTTAGATTTTGTGGCTGAAGAAGTGACGAAAAGAATGATGTCTTCCCACAACGCAGTAGTTTAAAATCTCCCTGATCGCATACACCCAAATAAATTGAGGGATATCTGCCTTAAAGCATGCGACATGCTGAAGGTCAACTGCCAAGTCATCCGCCTTAGAAAAAAGTCGGATAGATTGACTTGCCCTCTACTATTTAAGTTTGGCTGTTGTAACGATGCTAAACAGTTTATTGATTTGAGCAAAAATATCAGCTCATTAGTTCCATACAAAAGCATTAAAGTCACTCCTGACCTAACATCGTGTCAACGTCGTATAAGAAGACGTGAAGCAATAGAATCGTATGACAGAGTGATAGTAAAAACCCAGCTAAAGACAGTATGCAACAAAATGATTGATATAAAGCGCATGGATAACAAGCATGATGTTATACCACAAACGACTGGTCCATCCGTAGATCTAGATGAGTCTGCAGATCTGAAATCTTTGAATAAGATACGGTCCCCATCTGTCACTAAAAGGCGTGACGGCATCTATGATCCCGGGTGTTCGCTCAGTATAATACCAAAATGTGGGCCGTGTAACGAAACACACCCAACTAAACATATTCATGTAAAAATTGGTTCCCCAAGAGATACTCCACAAGAGGATTCGAATGAACCTAAGTTCATCTCACAGAGACAAAGAAACTCTTCATCTCTGACTAAAAAGACTGGGGAGATGAAATCCAAAATACGAAATAGAGGGACACGTAAGATTGAGGATAACTGTTCTGTGGGTATCCCAACAACAGTGAATAGGTTCTATCCGCTGATATCATGCAACTTGCCATCAACACCTCGCACAATGGGTAGTACGCTTGAGCGTAACAAACCTTTTTACACGCACACTCACAAAAACGATCAGAATACTGATCACTCCACTCACCTTCTTAAGCCTAAAACCGTTAATAAACATGGTAATTACAGGTTCCTCACCCCACACCCTATGTACATTCCCCAGAATCACAATTGTAATTACTCTCAGAATGAGAACTTTCCAGTATCAACTCACCACATGAAGATGGCCTCCATATATAACAACAGTCGTAACCACTTCCAGTTACGAGCATCAGACCCCCCTCATGCTCGCACTAGCGCAAATAGTTATAACAGAGGCTACGAGCTTAACCATCAAAACTGTCTTGAAAATAACAGTACACTTTACAGTCAACATGTACCAGATTTTTTTGGAATAAGGCCCCTAGTTGCACCCCTGTTGAAGCATATGGCCCTAGTCATTTCAAACCAAGTGCGGAACATAAACTCGCTTCCCTCGTACAGTTCGCAACAGAACGTACTCCCACCCTTTCTGTTATGTAGTAGCGAAGACATAAGTATGGGTAACTTGCAGAACCTACTGTTGGACTATCATTCTTATTGTATAACTATTCGGTAACTAGATTATCTAAGCTTTATTTTGACCTATTGATTATTACTATATGATTTACTGTCCCTACGTTATGCTCAGTTTTATTGATTATTGTCTCCCACGCTTACAGCTTCATTTGGCCTGGTTTTGTACAAATATTATTTTCTATTTTATGGTGTGGTCTGCCTGTCTGGTATATAGATAAAGTATGTTTGAAATAAACGATTCGCATTACAGCAGCTGCTATTGGTGTTCTGGACTCAAGTGGACGGGTAGGCGGATAAGGACCAATAAGGACGCTAGATTACTCATATTAATCGAACGTCATTGTCACAGTGTGAAGGTCGTAGAAGGCGTATTCTATTGGTGGATCATTTACGAGAATTACGTCCTTGTTAAATTCGTAAGGTCATAACGAATCAGCGACGACCTTGATCAAGTCATAACAATTGGCTACAGTCTAGGTCAAAAACATAACAAATTGGCGGCGGGGATTTCGGTAAAAAAAATACAAGAATTGGGACGTGATTCTGGCAAAAAAAATACAGCAGTCGGTGACGTCATTTTGGAATTAAATAATCCATAATATTTGCCGGTGTTTTTTTGAATTTATTATCATTATTATTCGCATTAAAAAAATGTCAATTTCTCAAGAACAGTTGCAGTTAATAATAC